TGTCCATGTTCAAAGTTAATATTATTAAGTGTTGGTTATTTTGTTTTTGTTAATAAGGCTTCCATTATTTTTAGCCTTTTTTGCATGTAAGATGATGCTATTGTATTAGTGTTGTCAACATGTGTGTTACAGATAGTGTCTCCATGAATATTTAAATGAGATCTAATTGAGCTTTATATATATATATATATATATATAGATAGATAGATAGATAGATAAATAGATAGATAGAAAGATAGAAAGATAGATATAATACAAGTTATCTTCATTTAATAATAAAAAAATTTATATTCACAACTCCAGAAATTCTTTAATCTTTATTTCTTACACATATATATAAATCCTATTTATTTTAAATGCCAAATATACATCTACGTCAACATTATGATAGCTAGATATATTTTTCAAAATTCAAATTATGTAACTGCCAATCATGCTGTCATGCTGAGTCATGCTGTCAGGGGATGGATACCATGTATATTTAATTTTACAGAGAAATATTAAAACGAAAATTGTTTTACTTACAAGTGGGTCTCTTACAAGTAAAACAATTTGTTCTGAAAAGCCACTTGTAAGTAAAATAATTTTAATTTTAACATTTCTCTATAAAAATACATGTATTATGAATATTACCTATAAATACATATAAATATTATTTAAATTGTTCAGACTGTTGTCCTCATCTTTATTGCCATATTCACAACATTTCGGCCATTGTACACTCCGGCCTTCTTCAGGCGGTTGGAATTTGGAACTGAACCTGTTATTTCGTCTACAGGGCTAGATTGTTCTAGTTCCATGGACCATGCCTCTTACAGATATCTCAGTTATTGCTCTGTAACTCGAGTCTCCAAGTTTTTGTTCACCACTGCAGTAGCCAGGTATTGAACTCAAAACTCTTTGGTCTGAGATCCTACCAACGCTTTTATTAACAGGTCCATGTGAATTTTTTTGTACTTATAGAATTAAGGCTTCAGTAATCACCTGAACAATATAAATAATTACAATAGCTCATCTCAGAAATATAGACAGATCCTGAAGATGGCGATAGCATACAATGGCTGAAACATCATGAATATGGCAATAAAGATAAGGACAACACTTCGAACAATGTAAATAATTACAATACGTTATCTCAGAAATATAAACAGATATAAATATTACATGCTTTCTGAATCTTATTTTATTCTCTCTCTCTCTCTCTCTCTCTCTCTCTCTCTCTCTATATATATATATATATATATATATATATATATATATATGACAAAAATATGGTTTTAAGGTATGCTATATTTATGGGTGAAAGTGTTCTATATCAGAGATAGATGGCATGTAAATATAAAAGTGGACATTAAGGTCAAAACCCAGAGGCAACAGTCTGTTTTATGGTTGAATATTTCATAACCTGCAGATTGCATTCAAGCTTACATATATATATATATATATATATATATATATATATAGATAGATAGATAGATAGATAGGAGGCATGGTGGAGTAGTGGATAGCGGCTCAGATTAAGGAATTGGAGACAAGCTTGCTAACCATTACAACATGCCGAGGTGCCCTGTAGTGGTGTAACTTTAATTGATGCTTAGTGTTCTAGGGTTAATCTCATACGTTAATTTACCACGTTAATCAATAGATTTAAACAAATTTTCTTAGCTTACTCATTCAACATGTTTTAAATGACATTTATTTATATATTCAATTTTGTTTTAACACACTGTGTATTTATGGCTGATTTTTTTTTTTTATTAATAACTGTAATTATTAGCTGGTGAGATGAAACTTGATGGGGAGATATGGAGGCAAAACAAAAAAAAAAAAGAAAAAATCGGAAAACATAATTACCTTCCAAGTATCCGATGACAGGGTATCCACATAAAAAAAAAGAAAAAAAAATCCCCGGTAAACAATTTAAATAGAGCTCACACTATTGTGATTGGCTGTTGGTCAACTTCCAATCAAATGCATGATAGCAGGTTACGGTTTGCCTAACATAAGTCAGTGTCTGCAGGCTGTTAATTTTGGAAGGTGGTTCAGAGACTGATCAGCTCTGATGGGGTCGACTTGGTGAGGGGAGTATGATGTTTGAAAGACTCGAAACAGACCAATGATCCAAATCAGAACATCACTGACAATGCCCTCTAATCCTAAAGAGCATATATTAAAACTTGTTGCTATATTTATAATGTTTCGGCCATTGTACGCTCTGGCCTTCCTCAGGTGGTTGGAATGTCAAACTGAACAGCAAGGGAAATAAAGGGTTCAGCTTGACATTCCAACCACCTGAAGAAGTCCAGAGCTTACAACAGCTTGATGGAATATTCCATACCTACCTGTCACCCCTCCGGGATAATGCATTTTTCACGCATAATCACCTCTTAACCAATCAGCAGCTTAGTTTCTGCAGACTAGGTTTTTCATTGGCTGAAACCTTAAAGCTGTAGCAAGTCTGAGCAAAAATACCTTTTCCCACTCAATGCTTTGGAGCCGATTCTGAGACCACAAACTCAATAAATAGAAGCGTTTCGATTCGATTCAAACAGTCAGAACTTCAACCCTGGAAAGATTCTAAACAAATCCACGCCAGACAAAACTTTGACCTAACTACACTTTTTGCACACTAATTCTTCTGACTCGATAAACAGCTCTTCACTCTCTCAGGAACATTACTTACAATATACTAAAGAAAGTGAATTGACCGACTACTAAACAGTATTTGTAAATCTCAATCCAACATCAAGACAACAGCTAAAGGTACACAACTCTTACAAACTTTGAACAGTAACTTTAACAAACACACATATGCACACTAGTGACTGAACTCCCACAAAAGACATTTTGTAATACGATAAAACCTCTTGTTTAATTTCATATACAAGTCCTAACCACAAACCTACACACATTGAAACTCAGCATAATACTTCTATATATTTTATTACAACTGGTCACACTTGATCAGCAATATCTTGATTGTATATGTTCAATTGATATACAATAAATGTTATTTGTTAAACCTTTAATCACATTGTCCTTATTTTATTCCTCCTGAATGATTTTAAATTCAATGTTCTTATTTTTATATTTGTTGTGGATGAATGTCTTGTGAACACCTGCATTTTTAAGCCTTCTGGTAACCTAACCTTCTGATACATAAAATACATTCGCCAATCTGCAACAAGCTGAAACGTTATGATAAATATGACAACAAAGATGAGGACAACAGTCTGAATAATGTAAATAGTGTATATAATTTATTACATTGGAATTGTAATCACAATCCAATTCATCAGACGTACAGATTCAAACTTTTGAATTTATAGGTCTGATGAATTGGATCGTGATTACAATTTAATGTAATAAATTATAACCATGAAATATTAGTGCTTGAACCTTTTATATTATATATATATATATATATATATATATATATATATATATATATATATTAATCAAGTTCACTCAATACAAGGCAGTAAAGCCACTGAGATGCAAGGGGTTAGTGAGTGTTGAAAAGTTAGAAACAGCAACATTAGTATGGAATGAAAGTAAAAGAAGAGTAATTTTTGAATTTGTAGATCTGATGAATTGGATCGTGATTACGATTCCAATGTAATAAATTATAACCATGGAATATTAGTGTTTGAGCCTTTTATATTATATTCTTACTCTGTCCTGGACATTGAGTTCTACCTGAATTCTATCCACTTGGAAATTTATTTATATAGATTTATATATATACATATATATATATATATATATATATATATATTTAAAAGAAAAACAGACCAATTTAAGGTACCATTATAATAATTTATTTCACCAGAGTCCTTTTAAAAGGACGCCGGATCATCAGATAGCACTTCCAAAAATGAAATGAAATGAAAAATGAAATTAAAATTGATGGTTCTTTTAAATATTAGCTCTGGATTTATATTGAGCTCTCAGGATTTTATCCTCCTTCAGATTACCCATACTGATTACCAAGTTCTTCATAACTTAAATATATATATATATATATATATATATATATATATATATATATATATATATATGTATGTGTGTGTGTGTGTATATTGACCACTAATATTATCAATATCTATCTATCTATCTATCTATCTATCTATCTATATATATATATATATATATACGCACACACACACACACACACACACACACACACACACACACACACAGGGTGCGATGAATAAATTGTCGTCTAAATTACGCAAAAATGAAAATAACACTAATATCTCATTTCAGCAGATGTATTTACCAAAATTACACAAAAAATATCTTTAAATATGAAAGAGTAAATTTATTCAATAAAATCATCTTTGGTTTCAAACATGGCCTCAAAACGACTTCAGGATCTCCTGCGACTCCTCTGTAATTAGGAGAAAAGTAGATAGCGATTGACATTGCATTGAAATTGGTTGGAAAGCAAGGAGCCGGAAGACAAGAAGCTTTTAGCATAAGATTTATGGTTACATAAAGCCAGCTCAGCTGCAAATTGATGAGACCTCATCGGCATTCTAGTACTTCACTTAAATTTGAAGTGTCTAAGCACCATAGCGAAGAGCTTATCTGAACAGTTACATGAAATCATTTATAGAAAAGGCAGAGGGAGGCAAACTTACGGTGATCAGGAAAGTGACCAAAGCTGAAATGCCAGATTAGAATTGATAATATTTTTTGATTCTTCTTTGGACTTTATGAAAGATATCTAGATAAATAGCCTATATATATATATATATATATATATATATATATATATATATAATATAAATTTACTTATTTAAAAATATGGTTCTATCGCTACAGAGGAATTACCATGTTTCAAAAACAGAAAGTAAAATTCTCAAGTTCAATTATAGAATTAAATTAAAGACCCTACTCCTGTTTCATTTTCAAGTGAATTTTGGAATCTATCTATCTACGTACCTATCTATCTATCTATCTATCTATCTATGTATCTATCTATCTCTGTTCAT